TCTTCCAAACTTCTAATCGACTCGAACAACACTATATTTTATCCTTACAATAGCGTAGAAAACATTTCCTGATTCATTTTTATACCTAAATTCCGCATACCTTGAAATTTAAATAACTTGTTCTAGGTACGTCATACGTAGTTCATATTTTAAATTCGTTAGTTTCTTATTGAAAGCTTTCTTTTGATTCGAATATAGTCAACCTTTTCGATCAACAGTTCACACCCTTCCATTGTTAGTGAAACTTCATCTTTGACTTTGGTTATATGAGTACCAATGGAGTTTTTGAAATTTTGATTTATTTTCGAACTCGAATTAGACAGCTACTCTATGAAATCGTATATGATCATATACAATTTTCATACGATCATGAAAGATCACACAATAAGCTCCTATGTGATCTTGTAAGAATAATAGAATTCTTTGACCTGTATTATCGTTTATAAAATATCGATCTCAGATTAATTTCCTGAACAATCATTCGATATTCCAAAATACAGAATTATATGTTTTCATTATTATTCGTCAAAATATATAAAGAGATAACTTCCTATGGCAAATAACAGAATTCAATAAGCAAAAAGAAAAACCCATATGTATGCACACAAACAAAAATAGAACTCAATACAAATATGCAAAAACAAAAAACCAAAAATATTTATGTCACTGTTGCTTGTATGATTACTTCGTTTAATATATCATCTAAACATAGACGAATATCACTTTCAGCAAAATCAATCATTATTGGACATGAACATCCTGCCATAGGTTCAACAATTGATGATTCAATAAAACGACTTGGATCTAAACATGCTTCTTGTAAATCACGAATATCATGTGTAACTTCCCTAAATATTATTAAATATAATTAATAAAAAAATATTTTTAATTTTACCATCGACTTTCACATGAAAGACATTCAAATCCTAATTTATATTTCCATCGTTTTGAACGTCGAGCATGATTTTCAATTATATTATGATGTAAATCTTTCATTTGAGCTTCCAAAAGACTCAAACAATCACGAATTGGACTGAGAGAACTAAAATTATTTTAAAAAAGAAAACAGATATAATATCTGAAAGCTTAATCTTTTAGTTTTATTTTGTTTTTAAACTTAAACTCTGATACAACGGAGAGAAGTTTCAGTTCATAGATAAATCTGAATGCTATAGAAATCAAGAAAGGTTTGAATAAGACTTTTTCTATTTATCTTGTATTGCTTTTTAATTCTATTGTATAGTAGCCGCCAAAAATTCCCACTACCAAGTATAAATTACACAAAATTGCATCTTTTTGCCTGAATTTTGTGTAACAAATAGAATCTAGTATACTCTGATAGCAAGTACCAGCCCGAGGTCTACCGACTTTAATGCATGAGATTTATAAAAGAAAAAACCACTGGCATTTTTTCTAAGACTTCAAAAACATCTTTTTTGACACATTTCTGGTTTGTCATTATTTCAAAGCGTTAATATCCATGTTTTTATTGATAAATAAAGCACAGCATGTCTTTCCTATGCCATAGATAAAAGACTTCAATCTGTTCTAGTCCTGAGCCGCAGGGATAGTCTTTGCATCCATCTTCGCCTCACGAACAGCTATATTCGTGAAATTTTCAGAGAATATTTGATTAGAGCAGACAGTTCATTGGAGGAAATTTCAAGCCAAATGCTTGAAAACAGTCGAAATTCCAGATGAGTTTTTGACGAGTTTCACCGACTCTCAGACTAAGATTTGGCATGAAATTTTGTTTGATGATAGAGAGAGCGCTAAGCTCTCGAATGAAGAATCAAACGCTGTGATATATCATGCTAACGCTGAAATATTCTCATTTGCATTAAAAAAAATTATGCCAGGCTTGTAGATTGTTCGCTTAAAAGCTAATCAACTCCTAATTGCTATTGACGATCAGAGTCCCTTTTGTCCCTAAAATATGGAATTAGTGAATTCGCGTTTAAATACATTTTACTTGATAGCTGTACTTTATACGACTACTGTATAAAGTAATATTTTAAAATATACATTTGATATCTTACGATGGGGAAACCCTTCAGCTGATAGAACGCTTTTAGGTCGGTATTATGTGTATCATGTAGACCTAAGTGAATTTTGAATATCTTAAAAAGTGTTCGGATATTCAGCTTATTGTTGTATAGATGCTACAAATTTACGATAGTTTTCTAATCAATGCCGTTAATCCCTCAAGATTACTAGAAAATTGATTTTCGAATTTCGACGCGAAAATTTGTACAGAGGTTGGTCTTAATGAAAATAATTTATTGCGAAAGTTTCAAGCCTCTACGTTTGCTCCTATCCTGTAATGAAAACATCGAATCTACCAGTGCATATGAAGGACGTAAATGACACTCTTTTATCATCGCTATATCGTAGAATAGGAGTAACGACAAGATCTGAAGCATTCATAAGAAACTATTCTCGTTAAGACCTGTTTCTATGCAAAGTTTCAAGTCGAAATTAAAAAAAATCAGTTTTCCCAGTGTTCCTAAAGAGGATCATGGTATTTATTTATAAACAATCGTAAAAGTGCAATATCTCAGCAGCAATAAACTAAGGGCAATCTTATTTATATTAATTTAATCATAACAGAAAACTTCTTTTCTTCAACTTACTTGTTGAGTTTTTCTTCAGTGTCAACTTCAGCAACTAATTTTTTTAATTCATTTATATTAATTATTGAATTCTATTCATAAAAAAACACAAACATGTTGTTTTTTTGTCTTTTATTTAAAAGAAATAATTTATTTCTTTTCATATTTTACCTCAGTAAATAGTTGTTGATTATCAATTAATGGTTTAACAATTGAACGAAATTTTCCAAGTGTTGTTTCCAATTGACGTCGTTTTTCTTGATGACGTGAATCCATTTGTTCAAAACGTTTGACATTATTAAGTGAAAACTGTAAATATACAAAAATTAAAATTTTAAATACATATAAATAAATTTTAATATTTATTAGATAAGTTTTTCTTTCGTTTGATATTTACTAATAGCAATCAAGATCAAAACAAGAAAAATAACGAATAGATATATTCATATCACACAAGAATAGATTTTTTTTTTTATATCACCAATGAAATAAACTAAAAGGAAAATATTTTTTTCTTCACTTATGATAAAATAAATTCAATATACGAAAAAAATAAAATAAAATAAAACTCAACATTAAGTTAAAAAACGTTTTTTCCAATTAGTCGACCACACGAAAAACAAAAACAAAAACAAGCAATGTGCAATAAAAACATTCATAAAGCGTTCGATGAATAGCATGTGAATCGATTGAATATTAGTAGAGTGAAGAAGAAGCATGGTAATTGCAACTGTCGACGACGCCTACCTGGCTGGATTTGATTGCTTCTTGTAATTCAATTTGATGGGCTTGTTTTGTATAATCTAATTTTTCTTTCAATGCATTTAATTCACGTTCTTTTAATTCAAGTAATTCACGAAGATTCTAGAAAACAAAAGGAAATGTTTTTTTCTTTTGTTAAGAAAATGATTAAGAATTTTATACATCGATTGAACTATTATCAATATTTGATTGTTTAAATTTCATATTGGCTAATTCACGTTCAAGTTCCTGAATTTTTATTTGATCATCATGAAGTTCAGTTTTAAGACGATCAGTTTCCAAACGATATTGAATTTCATTTGTACGCAATCTTAACACAAATATATATATATATATAAATAAGAATTTATTTAAGATAGAAATAACATCTTCGAAAGTTTAGTTATATGATTGAGCTTTTTTCTTTAAATAAAATTAGAATTCAAAGCATCTACGATATCTTTGTTATTTATTTCATTGATACTTCTAGAATTTATTGAATATTGTTATAGTTTATTATAATTCTCGAATGAAGATATAGCACATGAATATATCATATATAATCACCATTTCATTTCATGCTCTTGATCGATGTTATTAGAAAATTAGTTAGACAAAACCTCCATGCATTTGAATTCTTCAATATAACTTACGATTGGTTTGAATTGGTTTTCATTATATTTGACCTGGAATTTTCATGAAAGAATTTACTTTTAAATGACTACTATATATCACTTTTTTTGTATGACACATGAAAGCTTCTATCAATATGTGCTTGATCATAAATCAACTGTTTAAAGTTAATGTATATAATCCTAGGTCAATGATTCCGGCGCCCAAATCCATGAATTTTCTATAGGTTCTCGATAGAAAACTCAGGGAAATGGTACTCAAGACAATGATAACAGTCACTGAAATGATCAAACACAGTACTGTCGTTTCATACAGTTTGCAGTCCTAAATAGCTGTACGTTGATGGTTGGTAGATGCAGTATTACGATTGTGTTTTATCGTACTGCACACAGTTGATAGTGGTTATCAAATGGTCTGAAAATAAATCATCCGATCGAATGCGACTCGTAATTCTTCACCTCAAGTAACTACAGATATGTTTTTATTGAATATCAACTTAATAGTTTCTCTTCTTCATAGAATTTATTATGTTCTCCTAGTGAATAAAAACATTTTGATAAAAAGAGCGGTTATACATAATACATCAAAAGAGATATTCAATAGAAGAACTATAAATTAAAAGAAGATATTTATATATATTAAGACTAAAA